TAGGAGAATCGTGTTGTCTTTTGTTGAATCCAAACCAACTCACCGCTCTCAATTAGTTTAACTATATCAAATTTTAATTTTGTCTATTCCATCGGATTCAAACTTCATCAGCATAATAAAGAAGTTAGTTGAACAACCGTATGTGAATTGTTGTAAATAATGCCATACCAAATTCAATCATATTTATACAAAATAATCACTTTTTTAATATAAAATTTAATAATAAAAAAAACATTATTTTGGTTATTTTAAAATTGATATAAATGAATTTATTTTAGTTTAATTGTTCAAATGAAATTATATATAATATATATATATATATATATATTCAATCATCATTCAAGTCAACCTAGTTACTTAAAATTAATCAATTCAATTAATTTTACTTTTTTAATATAAACAAATTGCATATTCAATCATTCAAGTCAACCAAGCTATTTAAATTTAATCAATTCAATTTTTTTTTATCCTAAATAGACATTGCGTAGTTGCAGCCACCTGGGGTCCAAAGTCAATGAGAGTTTGAGTTTCATTTTTCTCTAAAGTTTGTATTTTAAATGGGATCTCTCGCACTTTTTCTTTTACATTTAGTTATTACACTGCTTACGTATCAAAGAGCTTAAAAGATAGGCTGAAAGACAATTATTTTAGAAGTAATATGATTAGAAATAGTGAAAAAAAGAAGATAAACATGCATGCTAATGAGGAATGTGGCTTTATTGGAAGACCACAATGCTGTGGGAGTCTTGAAAATAAGTGTTCTCCTAAATCTAGGGTATTGCCCAGCAATTGTTAGGACAACCTGTAGTTTTGAATAGTTTTTGAAAACGCAACTAATGTTGGAGTTGTAACTTGTGAGATAAGAGAAAACTGTTGTTAGATAGATGTGTTAATATAGAGTTTGTTTGAATACAAGATAAATACTTTTGAGAGTTTTTTTTTTATACTAGAACTAGGGTATTTTTTTGTAATTAAATTCATGCCTTTCAAAAAAAAAAAACACAAAGATTTCGACTAGAGCTCCTGCAAATTTCGCAACTTCTTTCTTGCTCACTCCTTGTTCGCTATTTCTTGAACTGAAGCAAAACTTGTCCTTTACAAACCTCGAGATCAAAAGTGTCACTTACTATTATTATATAATTTTAATTTAAAAACTAAAGTTGAAAAATAAGGTTAATCTCATTTATTCATTTCTTTTTAATAAATTCAATGATGTTAAGTTCATAAAACACATATGAATCACATCCTTAATTTAACACGTACTTTAATAACATAGTTATTCGGTGAATCATTTGATCAGTAAATGCACGATAGAAAACGTCTATTAATTGTATGTATTTAGAATTTCTAATTTTGGGTTGTTCAAATTAGGAATTAGAGTTCCCCTAAAAAAATAAGGAATTAGAGTTAATTTGTCATTAAAGTTGTAAAAGAATTTATAATAGTTATTGAGGAAAAGATAATCAAAGAAGGCAATGAGTAAAAATAATTATTTACATGACATCAGAGTCTTCTAGTTTATAATACATTTTCTTCTGTGATAAAATTGTGTGTGTGTTTTTTTTTTTAATAGTAATAAGGGTGTGCAAAAAATCTAAATTGATCCGAACCGATTCATAACCGATCCGATCCATATTAAAAAATCTGATCCATTTTGAAAAAAAATCCAAACCGAACCAATTTATAAAACCGGTTCAGTTATCCAATCCATTTTTACAAAGTGAATCGGTTCGGTTCGGTTTGGTTTTCTAAAAAAACCGATCCATATATGAGTAAAAAAATGGATAACTACACCGCACCGAACCGATCCAGTTTCAAAAAAACCGATCCATATTTTAAAAAAACCAAACCGATCCACTTTATAAAAAATGGATCGGTTAACCGATCTACTTTTATAAAACGGTTCGGTTCGATTTGGATCGGTTTTTTGAAAAAACCGATCAATGAACACTCCTAAATAGTAATGGGTGTCAATCTTTTTTGTTTATTGCGCGCCATTCTTGCACAATCTTAATTTAGTGCAAGTATACATTAAATAAATCCAAACTGCTTTTTTGTATGTGGTAAGGGAAAAATGGATAGTTAGTCTAAGGGAAAAAAAAAGGTTTTAGATTAAAATTATTTATAGAGAAACTTACATTTACCTCATGCCAAAGAGATGAGTGAGGGATCAAACCTTTAAATATGAATTTTTGTCTTGCTCCACTTGACAACCCCTTGTGGTTATCCAAACCCTCCTTGAACAACAACACCAAGTAGTTATTACACATGTAATTCTTATGGTAAATCATCGTACTGAAAAATATTATTAACACTAAACAAATATAATAAGCAATGATGAAAGGTACCCAAAAAGATGAGCAAAATTAAACGTTGGCCAATTAAGTCATGAGTGAAAAAATCTCAAAGCAATTTATACCACAAGTTCAAGCATCACTCATGCTAGTGACCAATTAAATTTGAGGATGATGAATAATATCCTATTTGACTTTAGTAATGTAAACTTATTTTCGGTGCATAACACATTTGATAGAAAGACAAAAAATAACATGTACAATGTTAGGTAATACTTCAAGTTAATGTTTCATTAAAAAAAAATCATATAAAGACACACTAATGAGATAATATTATTTTTACTTACATAATAAATATAATATATATTGATATATTATTAAAAAAAAAATATATAAATTATAATAATTATTTAAAATTCTATAATATTCGGACAATTCCAAATTATCTTATAAGAACTTCCACTGGTATCAAGTTTTAATGAGAGAGAAATAGGATAAATTATAAAAGAATGAAAATAAGAAAGAATGTAAATAATCAATAATAAAAATTGGAAGCAATATTATAATAAGTTATACATGATTAAGAAAAATGTAAATATTCTATAATAAAAATTAGAATCAATATTAAGATAAGGAATAACACAATAGTGTTACCTTTTTCTTATGGTAATAGGGTTGTCTAAAATCAAATCTTGTGACAAAGAGATCAATAAAATCAAATAAAACAATAAAATAACTTTAGGTAAATAATCAAGTACTTCTTTATAGATATTACCTAAAATTTATGACACAATATGTGACATTAACATATACCTACTAAGTAGTTATCTTAAAAGAATACTTGATGCAAACAAAATAACAAAATGTGAAATTGATACTAAACCTCCAAATAAACAAAAATATTTACATCTTCTATTCTTGTAGAAAATAATAAATTAAAAAATCAAACTATATTTAAATAAAGTAAACAATGAAGTTTAATTCAGTTGATTAAACATAATGCATGAATTATTATACACTCTTTATATTAAATTTGATTTTCATTGATATTAAAAAAAGACTCCGGGAGAGTAACAATAAAAAAAAATTAAGTATTACCTCAATTTGAGAGAAAAATAATGAAATAATTGTTAATGGTGAGAGTAAAACGAAGATATTTTTAGAGATTGTGATGTAGTTGAAAAATATAAAAATGGGCTTTTCTTAAAAAAAACATAAAAAAATAAAGATAAAGTGACAAGAAAAAATAAAGAGACAAGGAAATTGAATTTAATGAATAACATGACTTATAGGTAAGACACTCCATTAATTAAGAAACAGACATCAAACAACATTTAGCTAATACTGTTTGAGACAAAAGCACATTTAATAGCAACTTAGTTTCTCTATATCTCTTTTTTTCTTATTTATTTATTTATTCATCTTTTATGTTAATTAACTGTTGAGATCTAACACAATTTTAATTTTTTATATCCTTCCTTGCGAATGCACTAAATAAAGAACCAAGCACGTGACTTATGTATGAATTAAGGTCTTAAGAGAAATATTCTTCTAGGATTCTCAAAATGATTATTCAACTATAGTAATATAGTAGATTACCGATTCAATAATTAATCTATATAAATCATTAACCAACAACTTTGTACCGAAGAGCCATTTCCCTTTTGTGTGTAGATAGATTCAACCTTAATGCTTGAGAGAAAATATTTGCTCTCCAAAATTTTCACATATTTTGTATGCAGTTAAGTAAATGCCGTTTTAATTATTAGCCTGTGAACAAGATGTATAAATTGATTAATGAATACAATATTTATTACCAACAAGTTGTATCAACTGACAAGTGTTAAATAATTTATACTTTTTATGATTAAAAATTTAATTATCTTTTAATTTTTATAAATAAAATATCTTATTTTAATTTTTATATATATTATTTTCATTTTCTTTAATTTTTATAATTATTGAAATTTTACTTTATGATCCTTATATAAATAAACGACAAATACTAATAGAAAACAAACATATATATATATATATATATGTATATTTATTGTGGACTAAACCACTTTTAGTTACAGAGAAAAAAATAATGAAACCATGACTAATAAATTATCGTCAATTGTTAATAGATGAAAAACTGTGTAAAAATTTTGTTAGACAAATTAACACTACTACAATTTGTTGTCTCAACAATCTTTTTGTAATTCTTTAATCTCATTGTAAGACCAAATAGGAATGCAACATTCCTACTCTCCTGTTGTAAACAAAAAAAATACTATATTGTTTGTCTTACTCTATGATCATTATTGTCGCTTATTATCTGGTATTGAGTTTCCTTCCATGCTTAGAACATTCCATTTTTGTTGTTCTTACATGTTCATATTTAATTTAAGCAAGGTCCAATTTCTTTTATAAAAAAAGTAGCAGACTGGGAAGTGTTCAATCTGTCTCTGACACAACAATAGAAGAGAATACCACGAAAACAAATCACCAAATTGGTATGTTTTCAGCTTTAATTCCCTTAGCTTGAAAGCTTCTCAGATCTCAAGTCACTTATTAGCAACAAAGACCGACCCACCATGAAAAAACTAAAGATATAAAAATACAAAGCAGAAAAAGACAATCTTTCAGAGGCTAACAAAAGGAGGTCAAACTTCAAAGGCTAAATACACAGTCTCACTTCCTTAACTCCTTACTACATTCTCCTTCTCATATGAAATGGATACATCCTAGTTTTTTTTTTGGGATCAATAAGGACAGGCTGGAAGGATCCAAAACCAACCCCACTTACCATTATTATTATTAGGGAAGAAAGAAAGAAACCAACACAACACCACCCTCTCCAATAAAGTGTATTTCTGTACACAAAACTCTTCAGTCTTAACCAAGATTGTAGTTGCAGCAGAAAATTAAAAAAAATAAATAAATAAAGAGCCCTTACAAAAAGCAAAAAAGAGGAGGAGGATTGATTTCTTTCTTTCCTTTTCTTTTTCCTTGCAGACTCTGCTAAGCATCTTTGCCTCCTCACTTTTCCATTCTTTTATCTCCTTCCCACTCCTTCACCCCTCTTGGGAATTTTCTCTTTTTTTCCAACCAAATTATCTTGGTTTGAGCCTCTAACATCCCATCTTATATTCCCCCCTGTCTGCCACAAATTGCTTCTTCTTTAGGTGAATTCTAGCAAGTTTTCATTCCCTCACTCACAAAAGTTCTCTTCCTTTTCTCAATATTCTACACTCCCAATTTCAAACCCCCCCTCTCACAGTTACAAGACTGCATGCCCTGATCTCCTTTCGGGGTTCCATTTCTTAGCTTGCTCACCCCAGAAAAGGCCAAAAAACAAAATCCAGTTTTGGAAGTTCCCCTGATCTAAAAATCTGAGCTTTTTGGTATTTTTGTGTGGTGTTGTGAATTCTGTTTCTGGGATTTTGTTTTCATGGGACTGTGTCATGGAAAACCCATTGAAACCTCACAAAGTGAAGGTGGGCACCATGTTTTCCCTGGCGAGAAGGAGGTGGTGGCGAGTCCCAAAACCACCACAAAAGGTTCAAAGTTTCCGTTTTACAGCCCAAGTCCGTTGCCGAGCCTCTTCAAGAACTCGCCGGCGAACTCGAGCGTGAGTTCGACCCCTCTGCGCCTCTTCAAGCGCCCCTTTCCGCCGCCGTCGCCGGCGAAGCACATTCGGGCTCTGCTGGCCCGGCGCCACGGGTCCGTCAAGCCCAATGAGGCCTCCATCCCCGAAGGGAGTGAGTGTGAAGTTGGGCTGGACAAGAGCTTCGGCTTCTCCAACCACTTCCAGGCTCACTATGAGCTTGGACCCGAGGTGGGCCGTGGCCACTTTGGCTACACTTGCTCTGCCAAGGGGAAGAAAGGCACCTTCAAGGGCCATGATGTTGCTGTCAAAGTCATTCCAAAATCCAAGGTTGATTTTCGTTGGTTTTTGAGTTTCTTTGTTTTGAATTGGGTTGTGTGTTGGTTACGGGTGTAGCTTTTGTGTGTTGTGTTGTTATTAGCTTTTGTTTGCATTGGGGAGAGGGTGTTTATAAACTATCGTTGATCTCTTCCCCCTTATTCAATGTGAGACTTTTGGTGGGACGGAACATTGTGAAACCATGATATGAGGTAGTAAGAGATGCTACTTTTAGGTTCTGGTTCACTTGGTGGTATCCCCTCTCTCATGATGAATTGTGTTGCTATTGGGAGTATACCTATTCTAATGTGGGGAATCCAGCTTTAGATATATGATTGTGATACTTCAGTAGATTGTAGTAGCCAGTAGACATCTATCTTTTTTATTTTTAGTAAATGACATTGTTTTCTTTTCAAGTATGTATCTTCTATGGGTTTGTTTCCATTCCAGTTTTTGTGTTGGTTAGGATTAGTGTTCTTCGTTTGGCTGTTGATTGTGGAAATCAGTAATTTGCTCTTTGTGCTTATGAAAGTGGGTGATGTTTGGCAGATGACAACAGCAATTGCTATTGAGGATGTAAGGAGAGAAGTAAAGATATTGCGAGCTCTGAGTGGGCATAAAAATTTGGTGCAATTCTACGAAGCCTATGAAGACAATGACAATGTTTATATAGTTATGGAGTAAGTTCATATTACAGTTTTTTCTTCTATGGGCTATCCACAAAATCTTTGACTGTACTGATAAATTAGGGATATAATCCCGGGTTGAATGAGTTTGATGGGAATGGTGGAAGTTACATATAAGCGTTAATTTTATCAATATAAAATTGACCTATGATTTTTCTTATATCTTGGTTGTATTTCCGAGTAACTATGACTGTAATGCTGATTGATTGGAGATATTGTATTGATCAAAAAGGGAATTGAAAGTTGTTAACTAACTCCATAAATTAGGATCTCATGTTATGCTGTATCATATGCTTTTCAGGTTATGCAAAGGAGGTGAACTGCTAGATAAGATTCTTTCCAGGTAACAATTTTCATTTTCCTGTGCTACAAAATAGAAGAAACTAAAAATATGCATTCTGGTTTTCTCATTTTACTGCTGACATCATGGAAGGGATTCTGATTAGTACAATAATAAATTCTGATCTATAGGGGTGGAAAGTACTCAGAAGAAGATGCCAGAGTTGTTATGATTCAGATATTGAGTGTGGTAGCTTTTTGTCATCTGCAGGGTGTTGTTCACCGTGATCTGAAGCCAGAGGTAACTAAGCTAATAAAGCTTATCAATGTTTAGCTGGGAAAATTAATCAGGATATCTTTTGCCTCTGGTTCTATTAGATCATAGAATGACATTGTTACACTCTGGAGTAGAATTTACTTGTTTGAATATTCACAGTTTATGCTAGCGTAATAGTGACCTTGCACTTTGCTGAAGCTGCTTAATTACTCAATCTTATTGATTGATATGATGAAGCCTTATTATTCTCTTGCTCTGGGTTCTTTTTTTTTCTTTTTTAAATATATGGACAGATAAGATTTAAGGCTGGGAGAGGTGGAGAAAGGAAAAAACGAAAAATTTACACAGTAAAAATTTCTAATGTTCAAGATAATGTATAATATACTATGTGAGAAATTTGGCCGAGGCTAGTATTTTGACCTCCAATTGATGATATCATTGATACCGTTTTATATTTAATTTCGTTACTGAACTAGATTGGCTAGAAAAATTTTCAGGTACTGATCAAAATAGAGAAAGGAAAACAATTATCTGGAAAGTTTCTAAATAAATTACTAAAATTTACATTTTCATATTAATTATTATAAAGTGTTTACGATTATAGATATTGTTGCTGTCCTCTCTTCATCATCTTTAACAAATTTCATTAGAATGTTCAACGATTCATTAGCAAACTTCAGAAACAGGTAATGCTAGAGAAAGTCATGTGTTTATGATTACAAATAACTGGACTCCTAACTTGTTTAGAATCTTCTTATTACCTTTCGGTGATGCTCCCAGGGGCTATTTTCATCTCAGTTTGGTTCTTATGCTGTATGTTATCTTTTGATGTTTAATATTTGTAACGTACCTGTCATTCTAACAAAAGCAAGCGATACTTTATACCACTGCCAAGCCAGGGAGGAAATAAGTAACTGAGTGAAGGCATGAAATTTGCATTTATTTTATGTGTTCATTCTTTGCATACTAGGTTCATGACCATTCTGAATGGCAGCATTTTGTTTGAAAGTTAATTCACAAGTTAAATTATGTTGTGGTTCTGTAGTTCTTTACCCAGAATTATTCTCTTCCATTTCAGCATGGTAAACTGTTTTCATCCTTAACAAGAATGCCGATTTTCTTCTGCAGAATTTTCTTTATGTTTCTAAGGATGAAAACTCCACTCTGAAGGTCATTGATTTTGGATTGTCTGACTATGTAAAGCCAGGTTTGGCCTACTGCATATCTATATTTTCTTTGGTTTTTTAATAGTAAATAAGAGTCTGTTTGGATACAAGTTAGAAATACTTTTGAGAGTTTCTCTACTAAAAATAAAGAGTTATTTTCAGTAGAAAAGTCCTAAAAAATACTTCTAGACTTGTATCTGAACAAGTTTTAAATCAATCGGGGTTAACATTCAGATGTTTTTGCAGATGAAAGGCTGAATGACATTGTTGGAAGTGCATATTATGTAGCTCCTGAAGTTTTGCATAGATCTTACGGGACAGAAGCAGATATGTGGAGCATTGGTGTAATTGCTTATATTCTTTTATGTGGAAGCCGACCCTTTTGGGCCAGGACAGAATCTGGCATATTTCGGGCCGTCCTGAAGGCGGATCCAAGTTTTGATGAAGCTCCTTGGCCATCTTTATCAGCTAATGCAATAGATTTTGTAAAGAGACTGTTGAATAAGGATTATCGTAAAAGGCTAACTGCAGCTCAGGCTCTCAGTATGTGCTCCATTTCCCATTGGTGGTGTTTGGCATTAACTTTTGCATCTTATAATCCCATGTATTCTCTTGCTCATAGCTTTATTATATGCACAGGTCACCCATGGCTCGCCAATCATTCTGATGATGTGAAGATACCTTTTGATATGATAATTCACAAGCTTGTTAAAGCTTATATATGCTCATCTTCATTACGCAAATCAGCATTAGGGGTATGTAATACTGTCTCGTCATTTATTATTTCTTATGCTTTACCCTTCTCATATCTTAATAGAGTTTGTAAATCTCTTAATGATGATGCATGGATATGGTTACCAGTATTGGATGCGACACAACATAATATGTAAATATGACAATTTAAAAAAAAAAAAGTTAGGTTACAGGTATGACAATATATAAATAAAACATAATCATACTATAAATTACTTATATTTATTAATTTATTTTTCTTGATTTTTTGATTCTTCATAGTATTGGTTAGCCGTGGTCATGTTATTGCTAGTCCTTGATTTCATGAATTTTTTTTTATAAAAGCATTATCTAATTTGTAACCAAATTTAAATGAAAAAGTTCTATTCAAGTTCTGATCCCTTTATTATGCAAGTAAAATTATAAGAAGCTCGTAAGATACGACAGCCGTGTTTTGATACAAAAGACTGTCATATCATATGCGGATCCATATTTGATACAAAGGCTGGCATATAATATGCGGATCCATATAACATGAATATGTTTTGAATTTTGATCAGTATCAATTTTGTCATTTTGGCAGGCCCTTGCTAAGACATTAACATTAGTGCAGCTAGCATATCTGAGAGAACAATTTAATATCTTAGGCCCGAACAAAAGTGGGTTAATCTCCATGCAGAACTTCAAGACGGTCAGCAGCACATGTCCAAAGTTTTTGTACTTTTTTCTCCAAATAACTTTCAATCTACTAACACATTTAAACTAGCAGGGTATTTTAAGGAGTGCCACTGATGCCTCAAAGGATTCACGTGTCTTAGATTATGTGAACATGGTAAGTCTACTAGGGACTGTAACTTTTCATACATGTTTCTAACATAGTTGCTCCCTTGAAAATTGAATTGTTACCATTCATGTTGCAGGTTAGTTCAATCCAATATCGGAAATTAGATTTTGAAGAATTTTGTGCTGCTGCTATAAGTGTCCATCAACTAGAGGGAATGGAAAGCTGGGAGCAACATGCAAGACGTGCCTATGAGTTGTTTGATAAGGAAGGAAATAGACCAATTATGATTGAAGAGCTTGCATCGGTACTCCTCTTGTTGCAATACCATCTTTTCTAAAATAATAGTACATTTTTATTTTTTATAGAGAATCACAAGTGCCAAGGAACTGCAACTCATTAATTATTCCCAAGGTCCTATTAATCACTCAGAAAATGGCCCTAAAATAACCATGCTTGTAATGTGCACTCTCACTTTGCGTGCAAGTTCACTTTAGTGGAGCCTTTTACTAATCACTTTCCAATATGATGAACATGACTTGGGCCTTATTTGGATAAATATCTATGTAAACACTTACAGGAGAAGAAAATAAGAAAACAAAATGATTTTAGTTTTTTCCATTAACTAAAATCAACTTATGCAACTTAGTTTTTTCAGAAGTTAAATGTAAGTTTCTATAAGAATTAAGTGCATAAGTTTAGTTTACAAAATAAGTTCAATTCATTTTACTTTCTTGTTTGTTTTGTTTTTCCTATAAATGTTTAGAGAGAAATTTATTCAAATAAGAGTAAGACAATATTAATTATTCAAGTCAAATTCTTGATGAGCAATATGCTTTTTCAACCACATGTATAATGGTTCTAACTAAGCTTATGTAATTTGATTTGTTCCAGGAACTTGGGCTTAGCCCATCAGTGCCTATTCATGTGGTACTCCAAGATTGGATAAGACACTCAGATGGGAAGCTTAGCTTCTTGGGGTTTGTTAGACTTCTGCATGGAGTTTCTTCTCGCACATTTCAGAAGGCTTGAGAGAAAACACACATGATTGCTATTATTTTTTGTCCCCCTTATTGATCATAAACCTTTTGAATGCATGACTCATGAGCAAACTCCAACAGCAGGTTTCTTCATCTTGATTGGCTTCAGCAAAGCCAAAAGCTATAGCTTGAAGGGAGTTTGTTGCCTCTGAAGTGACTTGCAACATCTTGATGAGTTCTACAAACACAAAACACTTCATCAGATTGATTGGTGGTGCTGGAGTTAAGGCTTGTACAGATGAAAGTAGAGCACAGGTTGTACTTAGAACTAGTGGAACTTCCATAAAGTGAGTTGTGTTTTCGGGTTTATCCCATGTGTACCCATGGCGCACTTGTCAATAAACTATTTCTACTTATGTGAACTCCTTTATAGTAGACATTTTTCTGTTATCAAAAAAAAGGAAAGCTGAACAGTTAATACTCATGGATGCATGGAAAATATAAAAAAGTATAATGTGTAACTATGTATTGTAGCTCCTTGAATGAGCAGGATCAATGATAATTTTATATAACTAAAACTTTATAATAAATATATATTTTTATTTTGGGAATATAAATTATATATTAATTAAAATTTGTAATAAATAAATATTTTTGAACATAAAAGTTAGAAGTCGGTCAAGGGTCTGTTATTTTATTAAAACATTCTAACAATTTCTCATTTGACCTAAGGGTCTGTTATACATTGAGATTAAGTTATCATCTCATCTTTAACTAAATAGAAATGATCAGATCATCACAGTTAGAAGTCATTAATCTTTAACTAAATAGAAATGATCAGATCATCACAGTTACAAGTCATTAATGGCATGATTCCTTCCATTTATAACATAACTCAATTCAAACAACTTTATTCAAATTTTACTATAATATTTAATATCTTTCAAAGAAAACTTTTAATCACCCGAAAAATAACACATGTAAAGAACATAATGTGGACAGCAAGCAAAATAAACAAAAAAAAATGTAAATTGAACTCATTGGAATTACAACAATATGAGCAAGACAATACACATCATATTATCAGGCTGAGAAGACTTGTTTATAACATCCATCAGATTAACATGGTCATTGAATGTTTTGAGAAGAAACCCTTTAGTTAACGAATTCACTATCATCAAATTAATACCAACGTGTTTGATTAATAACACGTTTTACTTTTGCACTTCTTCTATGGTGGACAAGTTCAAAGCCTTATGTTTTGTAATACTTGTTACTGTTAGAGAAGAAAACAACAATGAAATTATCACAATAATCACAGTACATGAACAATTGCCTTAAAGCACACCATGAATTCAATCTCTGTTCTAGAAGTAGCAGTGCTAGACTATTTTCCACTTTTCCATTGAATTGCTCCTTTAGTTAATAGGAAGATGTAAGCAAATGTAAATTTTGTCAAATCTACATGCTCCAACATAGTTTGATTTGAACAACAAACCATTTCAAGACGATTTAATCTTTTATACATGAACATGAAATATTTGGTGTCCTGTAAATGCCTAAAAACTATTTTTAGCGGGTTACTTTAATATCATTCCAACAATCCAACTACAAATTTTATATTTTGCTAAGTGCATGTTTGAGTTTACATTTAAGCTAAATTATTGATACATCAGGAATAAATTTAATTTATTCCTAATCACTTTTTAGACATTGTATCTCATTAAACTTGTATTTACATTAAAATTATTCTTCAAGAACACTTTTTCATTCTAAATTTCTTTAATACTTTATTGATATAGTTTTTAAAGGATATCCTAACACTTACTGTGATTTATTATAAAATTATTTTTATTCTTATTCATATGACATGACGACTTGTTCATATCTTTCATTTCAAAGTTTTATATCTTTATTATAAAATTATTTTTATTCTTATTCATATGACATGACGACTTGTTCATATCTTTCATTTCGAAGTTTTGTATAAGATGAAAAAATTTCTTTACATTGTGTAACAAGTCAACATTATTAACAAAAAAAAATGTTATTAATACATAGGACCACAATAATAAACTTGCTCTCACTAGCCTTCACGTATATATAATAATATTGTTGACAAAGAACAATATTTTTTACAAAATCATATGATATAGTAGTATTGTTGAACTTAATATATCATATATTCACTTTTTTTTTAACTTATACACAGTTTTTTCTTCTTCATATAATCAAGTCATGTAAACTTTTTCTTTTAAAGTTTTTTTCTCTCACTTATTCGCTATTTACAAAAAATAATATTTACATCCACTTCGTGAAATTCTAGGTGATAATGAGTTACTAAAATCATAAAATCATTAAAATATCCTTTTTTGATATTTGAAAAAAAGATCTTTTTAATAGTCCATGTCATTCTTTTAAGTATAATTTTTTATGATAATTCCAATCTTATACATTTTAATATTGTCTATTGAATATTGTTATGTTTTAAAGATTCATTTACAATTTTTTGTTTTGAACATTTAAGAAACTTGACTAGTTCTTACATTAATTTCAAAATTTATTTCATAACATCCAACCAATTTTCAAAATTATTACATTCCATGTCTTGTTTAAAAGAGACTAGGTCCTCATCATTACTAAAGTTATATTATGTTCAAACAAGTAAATCTCATAATTATATAAAATAACTAATTATTCTTTCTTATAGATCGTCTTAAAGTCATTTATAATAATTCATTTATCAATTACTCTTTTCTCAAGTTATATAATTATATGAAATAACTAACCCTTTCTTTCTTGTAGATATTCTTAAAGTCATTTATTGTGATTCATTTATGATTACTTATTTGAGAATTGTACTTTGTTAGTTATCTCAACACCAATATGTTTATCTTGTGAGTTTGTAACATTAATTTGTTGTCTAAACATGTTTTAGGATTGTGTTACAAAAATAAGGACAACTTAAAAAAATAATAATACGTACACACAAGTATTTTTATGTCAATCTTTCAAAATATACACATTTAGTTATTTCTTGTTTTTATCAAATTAATAATTCTTAATCAAATTTTACTAAAATTAATTATTTTTGTACTATGATTTGAAAAATAAAATATACACCCCGACTTTTTGGGTTTGGAAACAATGAAATAATCACTGTAATTCTTACATCAAGTTTTTTTTTTATGGGATTATATACCCTTACTTTTATTAGGTAATCCCAAACATAATTATAAACTCTTAATAAGAACCATGTAAAGCAACTATAGTGTTCTCTAATATATGTCCAAGATTATAAATATACGTTATAACTTATCATACTCCTAATTATATGTATAAAAGTATATAATTTCTCCTTTCATTATTTTAACATTTATTATGGTGTAGCAAATTAACGTTGTATATTGTGTACATATGTTGTGACTTTCGGAAGTTCGCAAATGGACTTATTGTCTTTTATCATCAATGTTACCATAATACTTGCCACTTCTATTAAATCTCACTGACCACTTTTACTTTTCAATAATTGATGATCATTTAAAGAATGTCTACATATTAAGATTTATCATGTGACATATACAAGTAAAAGTATAGCGAGTAATTTTATATAAGTTCATAATTCTAAAATTATGAAAATCATGAAGTATCTCTAATTAATTCTATAATTCTCACACTATATAAGAGTATTAACAAAGACTTATATGGATCGATGTTTGAGTTTTTTTGTTAGAATATTGAGTAGAATTTGACTTCTTTAATGCTTTTTCCACTTTGATTTTTTTTTTTCTATTTTCTTTGATAATGAAGAAAAAACATAACTTTTTTTTTTTGTTTTTTTTTGAATTTATGGTAAGTTGGTAACCAATCGACAGATATAAAAAGGAAAGAGATTTTCAAAATTTAAAATAAAATTTCCATTAGGTTTAGGTTTTAATTCCTACGCGAACAAAATTTTTATATTTTAATTTCTGCCATCATTTATTATGCAACTTTGTTAGTTTTAGGTTTTCTATAACTTCCACAAAATTGAAATTGGTGGTGTAAAACCGCCATAAATTTTCTAACAATCATGAAACCACCAAAAATTTGTGTAAAATAGCCACATAACCAATGTTTTTTTCTTCTTCTTAAACTTTTGCAACTATAAGAAAATTCATTCTGATTTTACACTACCAGTTTCAATTTTGTGACGGTGTTAGCGAATAATGAGCCAAATAAAATTACCTAGCAATTAACAACAATAACTAAAGTATATATATAAAAAAAATCGAAAAAGAGATTAAAACTAGGAATTTTTAGGTATAGGAACTAAAATGTAAGGAGTGAACAAATGTCGGGATGAAATAATAATTAAATTTCTCACTTTTTTTTATGTTTAATATTCCTTTTTCTTTTAATTTTCCCCTTATATGTTATTAATTTTAACTAAGTTTTGGCTCTGCATTGAATTTGAATTATTAAAAAAGTTATAAGAATTTTCTGAATTATTCTTAATTGGATTGGTTCAACTGAAATTTAAAGAAAAAATTGTAAAAATGAAAGTAAATAGATCCGTGAACACCCTGATCTCCATGGTTTCCAATATTCCTTAGCAATAAGAATCATAACATTGAACCCACTTTAAAATAGTCAATTACCTACTTATGTAATCAACAGGATATATAAGGGATGATAGAAGGATTCCCATTGAAAATGGAGCTTATTCGTTATTCCTTGTTCCTACTTCCTACGAGGCAATGCAATATACCACGCCTTTGTCATCGCACACCTGTTTCCTATTAACGTATCAGCATAATTAGTGCTTTTGAGAGAAATTAAAGACACTCTTTATCTTCATTTTTAACTTCTCATGTCAATGTTATGTGGATATGTATGTATATATAAAGCAGGTGATTTTGATTTCTATATATATGACAGTACTTGCTAATCAAAATCCATTACCTAGCTAGCTTGCATAATATATATATCAGTGCAGTGTGCATGTGCATGTGATGTGTTAGTTGATGAGTAACACTTTGGCCAGCCACCTGTTTAGTGCTCTCTTAACTACCTTTCTAATCTTCCAAGCACTCACATCCACATTCTAGGACTAGGTGTTGGAACTGGCTGGCACCACCAATTTTAAGGAAAACAGATATTTATTAATTAATTATCAACACTTGTTTTACTCAGCATATGCAAATGGAACCCACGTTAGCATGTCTATGTACTTTCCATTACTTTCAACCTGAATATGTGCCACACTTCTTGTCTAGAATCAAATTCTCAAGCATCACTTTTATCAAAACCCCCACTGCTTTGACTTGAAAATGTTCTTATCCCATTCAAGTATTTAAATATGCTGTATTGTATTACACATGTTTTTCTTTATCATCAGTAGTCACAACTTACAAAAGCTTATGTAACTTGTTTGATTAACTAAACTAAACTCTTAGTAATTAACGCATCTAAGTCTACTTATGAAAACAAAAACTACCACAG